GGGCCAGTCGTTCGTGCCCGCGCGTTGCCCGCGCGGGCAAACGCGCCGTCCATCCACTATAATTAATGTGTGCGGGCGTTCTTGCATATTGCGTGTGGGGCGGCAAAGTGGAGTGCAAGTGTGTCTTGATTGTGCGATTGATGATCGCGTATGTTCCCAAACGATGACTTGTCGACCCCCAAGACAGATTTTGAATGAGTCCCGCGATTCTCCCAACTTGTCAATTCACATGTTCCTTTTTCCCCAACCAACCTGTGCTGTTGGGTCCTCTTTTTGAAGAGACGGTCCCCGCCCGCGTTCCTCCTCTCCTCCTCTTCCCCGTCCTCCTCCCTCCTCCCTCTGCCATGCGTTTCACCCACTCAGAACATCGCTTCGTGGCTCCATAGGGAGCTCCACCGAAGCCCCCAGTGGCACCGCCCGCATGCGTCCGCCACCAACCGGCACAGCCCTTGCTCCCTGCGTTTCGCCCACCCAGTACAAGGTTTCGTGTCCCCATAGGGGGCTCCACCGAAGCTCTCAGTGGCACCGCCCGCATGCGTCCGCCACCATCCAGCACAGCCCTTGCTCCCTGCGTTTCACCCACCCACTACAACGCTTCGTGGTCCCATAGAAGGCTCCACCGGTCCCATTGGCACCGCCCGCATGCGTCCGCCCCCACCCAGCACAGCCCTCGCCCCCTGCGTTTCACCCACCCAGTACAGCGTTTCGTGTCCCCATAGGGGGCTCCACCGAAGCTCTCAGTGGCACCGCCCGCATGCGTCTGCCACCATCCAGCACAGCCCTTGCTCCCTGCGTTTCACCCACCCACTACAGCGCTTCGTGGCCCCATAGGGAGCTCCACCGAAGGTCCCACTGGCACCGCCCGCATGCGTCCGCCACCACCCAGCACAGCCCTTGTTCCTGTGTTTCACCCACCCGCTACAGCGTTTCGTGGCCCCATGGGGAACTCCACCGAACGTCCCAGTGGCACCGCCCACATGCGTCCGACACCACCACCCTGTACAGCCATTGCTCACTGCGTTTCACCCACCCGATACAGCGCTTCGTGGCTCCAGAGGGAGCCCCACCGAAGGTCCCAGTGGCACCGCCCGCATGCGTCCGCCACCACCCAGCACAGCCCGTGCTCCCTGCGTTTCGCCCACCCAGGACAACGCCTCGTGGCCCCATAGGGAGCTCCACGGAAGGTCCCAAAGGCACCGCCCGCATGCGTCCGCCACCACCCAACACGGCCCTTGCTCCCTGCGCTTCACCCACCCAGTACAGCGCTTCGTGGCCCCATAGGGAGCGCCTCCTGAGAAGATATTCACAATTGCGGTAGTCACAACTTGATCTGGCTGGGCCTTTCACCTGGCTAATTTCCCAAATGTGAACTCACATTTCCCTGTCTCCCAGAAGGTGAATTCACATGTTTTTCCCAACCATCCTGTGGTGTGGGGTCCTCGTTTTGAAAAAACGGTCCCCGCGTCCCTCCTCATCCTCTCCTCCTTTTCTTCCTCCTCCTCCTCCTCCTCCTCCTCCTCCTCCTCCTCCTCCTCCTCCTCCTCCTCCTCCTCCCCCTCCTCCCTCCTCCCTGCGTTTCACCCACCCAATACAAGGTTTCGTGGCTCCATAGGGGGCTCCACCGAAGGTCCCAGTGGCACCGCCCGCATGCGTCCGCCACCACCCAGCACAGCCTTTGCTCCCTGCGTTTCGCCCACCCAGTACACCGCTTCGTGGCCCCATAGGGAGCTCCACCGAAGGTCCCGGTGGCACCGCCCGCATGCGTCCGCCACCACCCAGCACAGCCTTTGCTCCCTGCGTTTCACCCACCCAGTACAGCGCTTCGTGGCCCCATAGGGAGTCCCACCGAGAGTCCCAGTGGCACCGCCCGCATGCGTCCGCCACCACCCAGCACAGCCCTTGTTCCCTGTGTTTCACCCACCCAGTACTGCGCTTCATGACCCCATACGGGGCTCCACCGAGGCCCCAAGTGGCACCGCCCGCATGCGTCCGACACCACCCTGTACAGCCATTGCTCCCTGCTTTTCACCCACCCAGTACATGCGTCCGCCACCACCCAGCACAGCCCGTGCTCCCTGCGTTTCGCCCACCTAGTACAACGCTTCGTGGCTCCATAGGGGGCTCCACGAAAGGTCCCAAAGGCACCGCCCGCCCACCACCCAGCACAGCCCTTGCTCCCTGCGTTTCACGCACCCACAACGCTTCGTGGCCCCATAGGGAGCTTCACCGAAGGTCCCAGCGGCACCACCTGCATGCGTCCTCCACCAGCCAGCACAATTGCGATTTTCACAACTGCATATGGTTGGGTCCGTCGCCAAGCTAATTTTTCCTAAATGTGAATTCACATGTCTCTTGTTCCCAAAGATGTGAATTCACACTTTGCTTCTCGCACAATGTGAATTCACACTCTGCCCTGGCCTTCAAGATCCCCAAATCTGAGGCGCAGTGTTTCGCATGTCAGATTGGCTGGTCAGGTTTTGACGCTCACCTCACCGTTTTCGTTTATTCCTACTTTTTTGTTGCGCCCTCAGCGCACGTTGCCTTCGCCGCCTTTCACGAGCCCCCCGCCCCCTTGCTCTGTTAACCCTCAAGTCTCGCGGATGGGTGCAGGCGGGGAGCTTCAAGTGGTACCCCCGCCGAAAACAGCAATCGAGGATGCATCGCCCATGCATGGCTCATAAAGACACCATTGCCGGGACCCTGCGCCCGACCCCCACCTTCACCCTCTAAAAATGACGCAGAACGATGGGGTCCGGGGCTCTGGTCGTGGTTTTTCGTGATGCTACAATATATGTTCAAGGCTTACGACTTGGATTTACCTGGGCGTGCCTGAATTTACCTCGATGCATCTGCATGTCTACTTCGATGGATCCAGGTTGACCCCCGCAGGTCGATCGGCGAAAAGTCGTCAAGCTCGAAGGACACCCCACCCGCCTCCTTGTCGAACAGCGCTGGGCCGAGAAGGCGTGCAAGTGAGTTCGACTTGCGTGAAGTGCAGATTTCCTTTCATGCCTCGCCACGCCCCCCCCCCCGCCCCCCCCCGCCCCACGCGAGTAAACTTTCCGACGAACAAATCAAACATGGGCACTGACCAACAAATACCTACCTCGCTACTCCCTGGACCTCTCCCGGGACGCGTTCTGACCAACAGCGGGAGCGAATCCCATCGCCGTGACGAGGAGCGGGTGGAGCCATCGCGCTACCATCAAGAGGAGTGGACGCTGAGCTGGGAACGACGGGACTTGCCCAGCCAGGGCGAGCCTCGGCTTCGAATGGGCCCCGGGACATGGATCTGAGAAGCGGCCCGGAAGCCAGAGCCACTCCTGGACCCGAGGTGGCCATTGCGCTGGTGCACAGTTGCGCTCCAAAGCGATGCTGTTCCCATCGTACTTGCGGACCACATCCCAGAAAATATGTTCAAGCCCCCCGAAAAGGTATCAAAACCGCGTCTGCCCGAGACGCTGGCGGAGTGCCGAACGACTATCGCCTCCCAGGGTCCGACACGATACTTCCTCAGTACTCGAAGTTCTTCCTATTGAGCAGGGACCGACCGTCCCGGCATTCTTATAGGCGTAGCACGAAATGTTCTTAGAACCAGAAAATGTTCTAAGAACAAAAACAATGATCTTAGACAGTGAATCCGATGTGTTAAAACAAGACAGTCCCCGGCAGACACGTTCGAAGAACACTTCGTGAAACTACTGAAGGTCCTGAGAACATTGTTTGGTAGGCCTGTAGGCACGCCAGGAAGCTTCGCCACTGATCGATTCTAGCGATCAAGGCTCAAGGAGGTTGGAACGTCATAACTCTAGAGCCCGGATGCCTTTCTCTTGTTGCCGTCGCTCGCTCGCTCGCTCGTCGCCCCATCGGCCGGCCTGCCCCTTGGCTCCTCGCGACGGCCATGACGCGCCCACGAGGACACCGAGATGGCAACGAAAACCCCTCCTCCTCCTCCTCCTCCTCCTCCTCCTCCTCCTCCTCCTCCTCCTCCTCCTCTGGACGAGCGCGCTCCACTGCTCGCAGAGTAGCTACACGTCGTTCATGTCGAAGTGTGCTCATTTTTTGCCGTGGCAATGCTACGCGGCGCAACGGCTGCACGCGAGCTGTGACGGCGGGCGGCCGCTAGGCCACCCCGTAAAAGGTGCGGACCTCACCGTCTGTGAGCCGCACAGCTGCCTCGGCAACTCGCACGCCCGCCTGTGTGGGGTGTCATCCACCGAGCAGCTTCATCTTTGCGCTGGTGACCTGCTTCGATGCCGTCTGACCTCGGCATCGGTCACCCAACGAACGAAAAACACGCCCTGAGCAGCGCACTCCACAACGGCCACAAAATGTGAACGGCCCCGCTCTGTACAGCTGATGCCCCTGCGCAGGATCGAACATCCTGCTGGCCACGCTTCCGTTAGCACGGGCTGGTCCCGTGCTCGTGCTTGGCCCCTTCTGGCGGTGGGGGAGGCGCATCAGCAGGGGCTTGCGCTGCCTGCTCGGGCGGCTGGGGGCTAGGCATCAGGGCGCCTCTGCCGCGGCTGCGGCTCCGATGCGCCTGCGCGCCTACACCACCGCCGCGCCCCGAGCCACCCTCATATGCTCATATGTCACTATCTCCAGGGCACCGCTGTCGCGAGTACTGCATCGCACGGGCCCCCAGCACCTTGGAGCGCGCGCCGCAGTCCAGGCATCTGTGCCACTGGCCCTCCGTGGCGATGTTGTGCCTCCTGATGGTCGGGTCCCGCGGCCGTCCTCGCGCCGCTGGGCCATCGGCCGCACACGGCCCTGCGGCTGCACTGCCCCCGTCGGAGTCCTCGATGGGGTCGTCCTCCATCATCTCGTCATCGGCTGGCGCGGCTGCTGCCGCTGGCTGAGTCGCCACCCTTGCGGCCTCCCCTGCTGCAGCAGCCACCTCCTCAGGCGATGCGCCTGCTGCCGCTGCCGCTGCCGCTGCCGCCGCCACAGCTGCCGCTGCCGTGGCCGTGGCATTCCCTGCCGATGTCATGGCAGGCCTGGTCTCTTCAGCCTCGGGCTGCCGTCCACGCAGCTGGGCCTCTCGTCGGCGCTGCGCCCGCGCCTCCTCTTTTGTGGGCAGCACGACGTCCCCAAAGTCGCCGACCTCGACTGCCATGTCTGCCACGTAGTCAACCACCTGCTGCACCGTCTTCCAGCGGTCCAGCCAGGCGTCGATCTGCCACTGCGGCGGCATGGCCAGCTGCGCTCCTTTGACCGCCAACTCATCGGCGATCCTGTTGCCGCGCACGTGGAACGCATTCTGCCCTCTGCCATGCGCCCGCACATGCATCACCGTGAGCCCGTTCATGTTCTGGAAGGTCCCATCCACGACATTACAGATGCGCATCCAGATGTCGCAGCTGCTCCTCTGCGGCGCCGTACACCACAGTCGGCCCCTTCTCATGCCTCTCACGGCCATCTCGTAACCTGTGACCAGCGTGGTAGGGGCCGTCGCCCTCCTCAAGGCATACCAGATGGCCTGGAGCTCGGCCCGCCCCACCGATAGGTCAGCCCGCACTCCTGGCATGCTTCCATATGCTCCACCAAGCGTCGTATACTGTCCTTCTTCAGCAGGCACCTCAAACCGCATGTAGCCCCAGCCGTAGCCCTTGAGCATGTTGACGCCTTTGCCCGAGCCGTCGGTGAAGCAGACCCCCGGGATGAACGGCATGACGTCGTCCTCATCGACGCTGTCGCCCTCTGCGTTGACCGAGTGGTACTGCTCAATCCGGGTGTCGCCCTCGACGTCCTGGATGGGATGCGCCACCAGGCCGCAGTTGAGCAGCAAGCTCTCGCCGGTGCCCGCCATGCGCTGCACTATGCCCGCATGCTTGTCCGCCAGCTTGGTCCTGCTCTCTTCATGCGCCTCACAGCGCCCGAAGCGGTGCCTCTGAGTGCCCTGCGCGCGAGTGCACTGCTGGCACATGCCATCGGCCACCGTGCCGCGCTGCTGGAGCTTGGCCTGCGTGCAGTAGTCCTGCCCCACGTAGGCCTTGATAGCACCTTGGTGCGCAGCCCACCTACGCTTCTTGAGCAGCGCCCTCACTGGTTCCAAGAACGGCATCGGGGCCTCCTCTGTAATGCCCTTCTCATTAGCCCACTTTGTGAGGACCTGGCGCTCGATGGCCCTCTCCAGCTTGTACCTGATCGTCTTAGGCGCCACCGTGTGCAATGGCACCTGGACGCCTGCTGGTGCGAGCCTTCAGGGTCCTCAGGACTGCATCAGCTGGCCCTCTGACTGCCGACCATGCCATCTTGCCTGTCGTGGCCAGCCGCGCCGACGCCTTCTTCCATGCCGCGGCCATAGCCTCCTCGTCCATGGCCCTACTCCATACCACTTCAGCCCACTTTACCACTGGCCGTATGGTAAGACTTACCGCTGGGTCGGCCTCCTCAAGCCATAAGCGCAGGGTGCGATCCTTGCCCATGGCCTCGCCGCTCATCGCCATCGACATGTTGATGCGGGCCCTTTCAATGAGCTTCGGCGGCGCTCCGATGCAGGCCACCCCGCATCGCATGGACGGCAAGAAACCCAGCTTTGCTACCTTGGCTGTGCCAAGGCTGGCGCCCTGCTTCTTCAGGATATTCAACTTAGTACCTCTGTTGACCATGACCTCACCGCGCTCCTGCTGCTTGGGCCGCCGCTGTGCGCCCACGCCACCTGTGAAGTCCACGCCCAGCTGTATGCCATCTTCTTGGATCGCCAGGCCCCAGTCCTTGGCCCAGAGCTTGAATTTGGCCTTGGCCTGCTTGCCTGCCGTGTAGACATAGCTTTTTCCTTTCTCGGTGACTCCGTTCTTGTGCGTGGTGAGCGACAGCGGTAAGCCTTCTGCCTCAGCTGCCTGTATGTATGCCATCGAGGACTCCTTCGCCTCTCGTACCACTGCCTCCCGCTCGCCCTGGAGGTGGAGGATGGCGCCATCGACGCACAGCTTGACATACCTCTTGGCCCCCTTCAATGCACGGCCTAGCGCTGACCATGTCCAGCAGGATTATGGTGAAGCACTTGAGCGCCCGCGTGCCTCCTCGACTGCCTTCAGCCGCTGCCGACCACGTACGCATCCGCGTAGAGGCCACCATATCATCCAGCGTAACGGCCCTCTCCACAGCGAAGATGAAGATCATGAAGTGGAGCACCTGCTCTGGCATCCCCAGCTTGCGCCCGTGCTCCCACAGGCGCCCCATGGTGACGTGCTCAAACGCCCTGGACAGGTCCTTCACCACTGCCACGTTGATTTGGTCCTCAGGGCAGCTCCCGTCCCTGAGCATTAGGCCCCACATCGCGTATTCAGCGCCCTTACCTCTGCAAGCCCAGTCTTAAGGCCGTGTAACCATCTCTTCCCATTTGCGATACTCATCTGCCATCAACGCTTCAACCACTCTCAGCAGGGAGCACAAGAGGGCCAGCGGACGGCGCCCATCCTCGTGCGGCTTCGGCACCAGGAAGTAGGCCAACAGCTCAACCTGGGTAGGCCAATGAACGTAGTGGAGTATGTATTCCGCGAGGTCAACCAGCGCCTGGATGCCCTCTGACGATAGCCACGTCTACCATCTCGGGTGCCACCAGTCAGGGCCTACGCCAAGTGCTTGTCTTGAACAACCCGGCCGCTTCCCTGAACCGATCTGCCGTGACTCTGACCAGTGGCGCGGGGTAAACTCGTCCTTCCCAAGGTCGGGCGTGCTCTCCTCGGCTGCCAGCCCCATGCGAGGCCCATAGCTGGTACCACTGGTGGGCATGCCCATCCACCAGCGTCTGCCCGTCAAGCAACTCCAGCGCGTCCTTCTTGTAGTTCGCGATGGGCGCAGAGGGTCGCTCAGCATGGCGCCAGCGAGCCATGCGGTGCAAGAGACCTGCTGCATCCTTGCTGCCGTCCTTGAGTCTGCCCCATCCACGCTTTGGCCCTTTCCTGAGCCACAGTACTCACTATCTTGTTTGCCTGCTTGGGCAGCCACCGCCCTATCTCCATGACTGCTGCGAGCCGCTCTTCAGCGCCATCCTCATGTAGCCGCCAACGCTCGATGCCGAATAGGAGGTATTTTAGTCACTGTCCCGCGGCCCCGAGCTGTCGCAATCGGCGTCGCCCTCGGTGCAAGGCCCTGTCCAGGCACTCACGTAGCCATGCCGCCCGAGCTGGGTCTGGGCGCTTCGCCCTGGCTGCTTGCGCCACCAGTATATGGCTGCCGATCCGGTTGGCCGCCCAGCGCCAGGCCGTGGTCTCTACAGTCTGCCCAACGCCATCCCTTGCCCTGGGGCCCAGGAGCGGCGTGAGCACCGTCTCCGGCGAATCACCTCGGCCGCGGTACCGCGGGCGCTCCTCCTCTGGAATCTGGCAGATGCCCATGAGCTCCTCCTCGGCCTTGCGCGAGATCTTGCGCCAGTAGTTGTCCAGGTCCTCCTGGTCGAGCCTTCCAGTGTGGTTGGTCGGCCACGGCGGCCACTGCTGCGGTTGCGGCGCGCACCCGACTGGCAGCGCCATGGGAAAGGCACGCGGCTTGATGAAGCGCAGCACCTTGGCCTCCCTTGGCTGCTTCAGGCTGCGCATCCGCACTGGCCAATGCGGGGGGACCTCACTGTCCTCCACCCTCTCTACCTGGCTGAGGGCAGGGCTGAGGCCCTTGGCAACCACGAAATAGTCTATCTCTCGTCCTCCTCCGATGCCGTCGCACGTCACATTGCCCGTGGAGTGGAGCACTCCTCCCACGTCTTGGAACCATCCCGACTCATGCAAGGTGTGGGGTTCCAGCTGCGCGTCCATGCCGAGGATCCAAGGAACGGCATGCATCTCTGTGAGCTCACCAATGCGGTCCAGTATCAGCAGGTTGCGTTCTGACAACCCTTCGCCTGTCCACATATACGCCGAGACCAGCAGAACTCCTCCTGTGTCCCACAGCGGGCAGCGGGCCGCGCATATGCGCCCTCTCACGCCTGCGGGTGAGCAGTCCCGCTCCTGCTGGCCATACGCGTAGGTGAGACCGATGGACTTGGGCACCATGATGTATGTCCCCGCGCTGCGGCCTCCTCGAGCCCCCGTCGCACTGGGCGTCATCGCAATCGCCCGTGCTCTCTTGCAGGTCGCTGCCTGCACCTCCTCCTTCCAGTTGTCGTCCAGCCTGTGCTCCTGGCCCAGGATGCAGCTCGGCTTGGCGATGTACTCGTCTACGAAGGCGACCCCCTTGGCCCACGCGTTGCAGTTGGCGGTGTAGATCTCGATCCCCTTCGAGAGATTACCTCGCCCTCGTTTGCGCCTGCCTCGCTCTGCATGCGCTGCACTCGCACCATCTCCTGGCGCCCCCGTCGAGGCGCGCCTGCCCCGCGGGCTGTTTACCCCGTGGGTGCACCAGGGGGCAGGCTCCAGCAAAAACCTTGGCGACGGTGCCCAGCCCCTCGCGCTGTTTACCCCGCGGGTGCACCTGGGGGCTGGGTCTTGCGCTCTAGGCTGACCCTCAGGTTGCGCCTCCCGTAGGTTCTCGTGGCCCTCGCACTCCTCGTTGGCCCACGGCTGGCCTACGGTGTCAACCCCGCCGTGGACGCTTTGCTGCCCCCAAGGGTGCGCACTCACAGAGCTTGCGCACGCGATCAGCCACAGAAAGGTTGTCACCCATGTTCTGCGCCATGACATCCTTGTCCACGCCAGTGCCCTTGCACCAGTCCTCGAAGAGCTTCTCCTGCTCTGCTGCATCGAGGTCCATCGGGTCCGTGGCCTCGGGCTCTGCAGGTGGGCCCCCCGATGCTGGGATGCTGGCGAAGTGGTCTTTGTACTTCTCCCGCAGGGCCCTCTCACTCTCGTGGGCCTTCCTCTGGGCGTCCTTGAGCTCATTGTACGCCTGCATGAACTCTGAGTCCTCCTTCGCCATGCCCGTGATCTCCGACGCCTTGGCCGCCATCTCCTGCAGCAGCACCACGCGCTTCTCGGTGAGGGCACGCAGCTCATCAGCCCGTTCCTGTGCCGCCTGCTCCGCGGCCTTGAAGCTGGCCTGTGCGTCGGCCAACACCTTGCGCGTCTCCTCCACGTACTCAGCTGCCCTGGCCACCGTACGCTCCTTGTGCGTGATCTTGTTCTGCACAACCCGCGGCTGATCGTCCAGGCCCTTGTCTGGCTTGGCCGCCTCCGCTGCCTGGGCCGCCTTGTCCTTGGCACTCTGCACGGCCGCCAGCAGCTCCTGGTCCACCACGCCTTCCTTATGGAGTTTCTCGCAGAGCCGCGCAAGGTCCTCGACGTGGTTGGCTGCCGGCGCATGTACAGCTGCCCTTGGCCTCGGGGCTGTCGCCAGGGCTGGCCACTGTGCAGGCTGCGTCCACCAGCCCTTGGCCCATGGCTGCGTCCACCGTTGCTGCTGCCGTTGGCCCTGCTGCTTCGGCGTCCGCTTGCGCTTGTTCTGCTGCCACTGGTACGTGACCACCGACGACGTCCTAGGAGCAGCCTTGCCACAGCCACGGCACCAGGCTATCCACGGGTGGTTGTCGGTCGTGCCGCACGCACACGCCCACAGCGCGCCATGGTTCCCCTCGGCTCCCATGCGCACGAAACTTGATTGTCAGTTGCTTTTGCCTCAAAGCGCGAAACCCCTCGCGCTGACGTCGCCGACCGAGGCCGACTCGCGGTCGTCGGGCGGTTCATAGCCTTGAGCCAAAATGGCTACGGCGAAGTGTGCTCATTTCTAATTGTGCTCGTTTCTAATTGTTCCTGGCCCCCGAGAGGCCAGGAAGAGGCCCAGGATAGAACAATAGACATGAAAGGATCTTGTCCCCGAACAAAAATCAAATAACGTTCGAATAATTAGGCATGAACTATGTGTACTCGCAAATGGCCTGGATCCGCCGTGGGGGGGATTCCCGATCCAGCACAGCGAGGCGAACATGCGTTTTTGTGTCGGACTTTTGCGAGAGTAGGCACGTTGCGAGCAGTGTAGTGGAAGGCGCTCGGTGATGTCCTCACGGCATGTGTGTCATTTTTGTTCCGAATCTTCACCGTGGCGCCGTCGGCACATCTCCCTCCTCTGAAACCAGACATCAGGCGTCTCGATGTTCTTCGAGACACGGGCCCCCGACCTCTCGACCCCTTCCCCATGGGACCAGCTTTCATCCTGAGTCGTTTGTTGACGGTCCGGAGGCCCTGCAAGGACCCCCAGTAGAAGAAGAAACAACGCCATACACACCAACTCTTGGCGCTCCGGATTTCTTGGATCTGCGCTGGACACCCCTCCCGCGCCAGGGGCGGCGCCGGAGGCGCCGCCGGGGGGGGTCCAGCACGGATCCGAGAGATCCGCGCGGAGCGCCAAAAGCTTATGCTTGTGGCGTGTTTTCTCCTTTGGCCCAGAGGCCGAAGATAAAAAACATCTCTGATGGGCCTGTTTTCCAAAACCACCACCATAAGTTGGAGGGGGAGGGGGTCCTCCTCCTCCTCCTCCTCCTCCTCCTCCTCCTCCTCCTCCTCCTCCTCCTTCCCCCTCCAACCCACGGTAGTGGAGGTGGCGGAAGACAACCCCATCGACCTCCCGTCGTGATATTTTTCACGCCGCGAGGGGGTCTGGGAGCACCGCGAGGCGCCCCGGGGCGGCAGCGGGGGCCCAGCGCCCGCGGGGTCGGCGGCGGGGGGCGCCGCGCCCGGGCGGGCGGCGCCCCGCGGCGGGGGCGGCGGGCCCGGGCGCGCGCCGTCGGCGACCGCCGGCGGGCTGCCGGGGCGCGCCAGGCCGGAGGGGGGCGGGGGCGGGCCCGGGCGCGCGGCGTGGCGCGGGGGCGGCGGCGCGCCTGGGATCCGGGGGCGCGCAGACACGGATGAGCGATCCATGGACGTGGCGCGCGCGGTCGCCAGGTCCGTGGATCGGGGGGGGGGGGGGGCCAAAAATGCGGCCAGTGCCGTGCCGCCCCGCTCGGCGGCGGAAATCCGCGATTAGCCACAGAAACGGGACCCGTCGCTAATCCACGCCCCCTTAATCCATGTATGCGGATCGCCTGATGGGAGGGGGCCATGTCGTCCAGAGCCCCCCCTCGCTCGCGTCGTGAGGAGAAGCAGCGGGAGCGCGAGGATGTTGGGTCTGACGCTCTCGGCCTCCATAGGGGCCCTCACCGGGCCTCGGGGCCGTCAGGAAACGACACAGGATGGTCCCAGGGAAGAGGTTCAGACCTCTGGGGGGGGGCCAGGCACGTAGTAAAAAACACGACGTCGGGGGTCTGGGGGGGAGGGGCAGTGCCTCTGGCCAGCCTGCTTGGCCGGCCCCTTCCTCTCCACTCCTTGCAGATCTGGCCGCTGCAACTTTTTCATGCTGGGCGTGTTCGCCGGGCTTCGGGGCCCGAGACCCTCACGGAAAGATCAGGCTCGAAAAAAAAACGCAGAATGTTGGGTCTGGGGCTCCAGTCGTGGCTTTTCGCTATGGTGTAACTTGGTCGGATCTCAGGGCTCCAAGGCCGTCTGCCAAAGCAATCCGCGTGCGTTCCGTGCGTTCCGCTCGGGTCCGGGCCCTACTGTGACCGCTGGCCGACGCTCGCGCCACAGACGTTGGCCTGGATTGCCGCGCCGAGGCCTGGACGGCAAGGCGGTCCCAGAGACCTGTGCGCGCTACCTTGAGAACGGCTGGGCGATGCCGTTCGCGTTCATCATACTCCACACGCGAGGGAGATCCCATACCTGCGGCCAGCGCGATCCCTCCTGCCTTCCACGCTGCTGTTCCTTTCGTCGAGGCCTGCGGCTGAAGCTGTCAGGGCATTGCTGGACTACCCTGCCCCCACATTGGGCGCCTCTTTGGTGAAGCATGCGCGCGCTCCACTGCCGTTTGCAATCCCGCCTGCTGTCCAGAGTTGCGCGTCCTCCAAAGAGCTGTCGGACGCCGCCGGCGGTGCACCTGCGCGGGGACCTGGCCCGGGCAGAGCAGCGCCCACCTGTGCTCCTGATTTTCGAGGGCTGTGCTGCAGCTACAGCCCTGAGAACTGCACCATGCAACGCGCCATGATCGCCTAGGGAATAAAAATCTGGGTTCCCAGAACGAACCTTCAAGCCTCTCACAATCTCCCCCCCCCCCCCCAAAAAAAAAGACCCCTGCTGGCATGGCCGCCGAGCGACCCAGCCTCACGGGCCCCCTCTCTGCTGGCACTGAGCATAGGCCGTGCAGCTGCGTGCCGGCGCGTCTGCCGCCGCTCATGGCTGCCCCGCGGGCGCGGCGCGGCCACGCGAAGAAACTCGCTGGTCGGGCCGGCCGACGGCTCTGGACGCCCGAAGTGGGCACGGAGATGATGGGTATACGATGCCCAACAGCAAATGCTGTCCCAAACCAGCAGCGGCCGCTGCTGGGCAGGCGGCCCTCTGTCTCGAATGGCCACAGGCCGCGGCGGCGTGGACAGCGAGTCCTGTTCAAAATGAACAGGAACTGCTGTCGGGCATTGTACCCATTCTTTTCCTACCCATTTCGAGCGTCCAGAACGGCGGTACTCACGCGCAGCGTGTCGGCAGTGTGCGTGTGCCGGTGACTCTGGCACGACAGCGGCCGCGTCAAGCATGCCATCACCACTACGTTATCACATGCCATTTCAGAGCCAAGCTCTGCTACCCAGGTCATCGTCTTCACCTCCGATTGCCTCGCGAAGCGCGTCCCCACAGTCGGGCTACTACCAGGAGGAAGGTTCAATCAGGAACGAAGCCCTCTTGTGGCCCCAAGAGCGCCTGGGCGCACGAGGAGCGCTAGAGGTACAACCATGGAAGTACCCGAGGAAACGCGAGCCCATTCCGAATCCGAACTGGCCCATATTTCAGAGTTCTGACGGTGCGAGTCGACTCGAATTGTCTGGGCTGTGTGAGAGCGGCACGGTCAGAAATTTGAAGGACAAGGGTGTTGCCACGGGCAGTCAGCGAGACATACTGCGCAGCGTGCGATTTCCTGGCAATGCTGGATATTCCCGCCAGCTCCTCCTCAATTGGGAAAGGTTTGGGTCTGCCAATGTGGGAATGGTCGCTCGCCAGCTTGACGCTGCTGGTTATGGTCGCAATCTCGAGCGTGATAGTTTACTCCACTTGGTTCTGTCGGGGGCATCCGAGAGAAGACGGGCGTGTGCAAATCATGGCCCGAGACATATGCACGGCCCAGGGGGGGGTGGGCGGGGACGTCTGGAAGTAAGAAGAGGCGCCATGAAATCTGGAGAGATCTCATTGCCCCTGCCATGATATCCACACCCCCTAGTCATCACCCCTCTCTTGGCCGCCCCCAATTATGTGCAGTATGTTGCTTCGCATGGCTTGTTTGGGGTGCCCTTCCCGTTTGCCGAATCTGCCCGAAGCCGTGTGAAAGGCGAATCGTGATGGTTGAGCCGGTCTTGCCGCCTCTGCTTCTCGTGAGAACACCTTGCTGCCGATTCCCCCGTTGCATGACCACCTCCTCGCTCCGCCTCGACCTCGGGCTGAGGCTGCGAACTGGCTGACTGCCCAGAAGCAGACATCCTAAAGTCTGCTTCCTGCAGCAAGCCCCAGCTCCCGGCGGCGTCGATGCCGCCGCGTACCGGCTCGCGTCCTGCTCTGCCCGCCGAGTCGTCCAAGCCGGCAGGACCGCAGTCGGGAGCGGCCAAGAGGGGGGTGTCCAAGAGGGGGGGGTGCAAATCATGACCGGCGGCACGTGCGCGGCCCAGCGGGGGGGCCAGGGACGTAATGAAATAAGAAGAGGCGCAATGAAATCTCGAGAGATATCATGGCCCCCGCCATGATATCCACCCCCCCCTAGTCATCACCCCCCTCTTTTCCGCCCCCGACGCAGAGGCTCCCTCTGCCGAGCTGGCTGGAGGCCCCTTCCCCCCCCTGGGCTGCCGGGATCGCGGGCGGGGTCCTCGTGAGAAGGCCTCCGCCTGCCTCTGGGGCCATGCGGGGTCTCGCCATCGCTCGGACGCCCCTGCCCCGTGCCTCTGTTCGATTTCTTCCACGTGCCGTCACTGGAGGATCCAAGCTGCTCCTCGATGGCCCTCGCCGTCAAAATGCGCACGTCCGAGCGATGCCACAGGGTGGGGCCACTGCTGGCTGCGGCCGGGGCCCGCCCTCGCCCCGAGACGCCCGAGCGGGCCCCGAGGAGTGCGACGCGCAGCGGGGGCTCCCGGCTGCCGGCCGCGAGCGAGGCGCGCCGCCGCTCGGCCCACGCGGGAGTGGGGGGGATCCCGAGCGGGGCGCGGCGAGGGAGCGGCCCTCTGAGAGGGCGGGGGCCTCGTGGCCCTCCCGGCAAGGAGGGGGGGGGGGTCTGCCCTCTGCCTGGCGGCGTCCCAAGAAGCTTCTCGCAGGAATACATGAGGCATTTTGCGAGGCGGGGCGCCTTTTTTTTCTGCAGATAAAGAAAACATAGACGAATGGCAGCAACACCACAAACAACAACATCAACAACAACAACAACAACAACAACAACAACAACAACAACAACAACAACTACAACTACAACTACAATTACAACAACAACAA